CTTCACTACCACTCACAACCAATCACAATACCACACAAATCACTACTACCACCCAGCACAACCAATCACTTCACTACCACCTCAGCACAACCAATCACATCACTACCACCACACAACCAATCACATCACTACCACCCAGCACAACCAATCACATCACTACCACCCAGACAACCAATCACATCACTACCACCCAGACAACCAATCACATCACTACCACCCAGACAACCAATCACATCACTACCACCCAGACAACCAATCACATCACTACCACCCAGACAACCAATCACATCACTACCACCCAGACAACCAATCACATCACTACCACCCAGACAACCAATTCCACTCACTACCACCCACAACCAATCATTCACTACCACCCACACAACCAATCACATCACTACCACCCAGACAGCCAATCACTTCACTACCACCCAGACAACCAATCACTTCACTACCACCCAGACAGCCATCATATCACTACCACCCAGACAAACCAATCACATCACTACCCACCACACAACCAATCACATCACTACCACCCAGACAACCAATCACATCACTACCACCCCCACAACCAATCACTTCACTACCACCCACACAACCAATCACTTCACTACACCCACACAACCAATCACATCACTACCACCCACACAACCAATCACATCACTACCACCCACACAACCAATCACTCACTACCACTCAGACAACCAATCACATCACTACCACCCAGACAACCAATCACATCACTACCACCCACACAACCAATCACATCACTACCACCCAGACAACCAATCACATCACTACCACCCAGACACCCAATCACTTCACTACCACCCAGACAACCATCACATCACTACCACCCAGACAACCAATCACATCACTACCACCCAGACAACCAATCACATCACTACCACCCAGACAACCAATCACTTCACTACCACCCAGACCAACCAATCACATCACTACCACCCAGACAACCAATCACATCACTACCACCCAGACAACCAATCACATCACTACCACCCAGACAACCAATCACATCACTACCACCCAGACAACCAATCACATCACTACCACCCACACAACCAATCACTTCACTACCACCCAGACAACCAATCACATCACTACCACCCAGACAACCAATCACATCACTACCACCACACAACCAATCACATCACTACCACCCAGACAACCAATCACATCACTACCACCCACACAACCAATAACTTCACTACCACCCAGACAACCAATCACATCACTACCACCCAGACAACCAATCACATCACTACCACCCACACAACCAATCACATCACTACCACCCAGACAACCAATCACATCACTACCACCCAGACAACCAATCACATCACTACCACCCAGACAACCAATCACATCACTACCACCCAGACAACCAATCACATCACTACCACCCAGACAACCAATCACATCACTACCACCCACACAACCAATCACTTCACTACCACCCACACAACCAATCACATCACTACCACCCAGACAGCCAATCACTTCACTACCACCCAGACAACCAATCACTTCACTACCACCCAGACAGCCAATCATATCACTACCACCCAGACAACCAATCACATCACTACCACCCACACAACCAATCACATCACTACCACCCAGGCAACCAATCACATCACTACCACCCACACAACCAATCACTTCACTACCCACCCACCAACCAATCACTTCACTACCACCCACACAACCAATCACTCACTACCACCACACAACCAATCAATCACTACCACCCACACAAACCAATCACTTCAATACCCACCCACGACAACCAATCACATCACTACCACCAGACAACCAATCACATCATACCACCACAACAACCAACACATCAATACCACCAGACAACCAATCACACTCACTACCACCCAGACAACCCAATCACATCACTACCACCCAGACAAACCCAATCACATCACTACCACCCAGACAACCAATCACATCACTACCACCAAGACAACCAATCACATCACTACCACCAGACAACCAATCACATCACTACCACCCAGACAACCAATCACATCACTACCACCAGACAACCAATCACATCACTACCACCCCAGACAACCACCTCACTATCACTACCACCCAGGACAACCAATCACATCACTACCACCCAGACAACCAATCACATCACTACCACCCAGACAACCAATCACATCACTACCACCCACACAACCAATCACATCACTACCACCCAGACAACCAATCACATCACTACCACACACACAACCAATAACTTCACTACCACCCAGACAACCAATCACATCACTACCACCCAGACAACCAATCACATCACTACCACCACACAACCAATCACCATCACTACCACCCAGACAACCAATCACATCAACTACCACCCAGACCACCAATCACATCACTACCACCCAGACCACCAATCACATCACTACCACCCCACACAACCAATCACTTCACTACCACCCAGACAACCAATCACAATCACTACCACCCCGACAACCAATCACATCACTACACCCAGACAACCAATCACATCACTACCACCCAGACAGCCAATCACATCACTACCACCCACCAGACAACCAATCACGTCACTATCCACCCACACACCAATCACATCACTACCACCCACACAACCAATCACGTCACTACCACCCAGACAAACCAATCACATCACTACCACCCAGACAACCAATCACTCACTACCACCCACACAACCAATCACCACTCACTACCACCCAACAACCAATCACATCACTACCACCCACAACCAATCACTTCACTACCACCCAGACAACCAATCACATCACTACCACCCAGACAGCCAATCACTTCACTACCACTCACACAACCAATCACATCACTACCACCCAGACAACCAATCACTCACTACCACCCACCAACCAATCACTTCACTACCACCCAGACAACCAATCACATCACTACCACCCAGACAACCAATCACTTCACTACCACTCACACAACCAATCACTCACTACCACCCACACACCAATCACTCACTACCACCCACACAACCAATCACTTCACTACCACCCAGACCCAATCACATCACTACCACCCAAGACAACCAATCACTTCACTACCACCACACAACCAATCACATCACTACCACCCAGACACCAATCACATCACTACCACCCAGACAACCAATCACATCACTACCACCCAGACAACCAATCACATCACTACCACCCACACAGCCAATCACTTCACTACCACCCAGACAACCAATCACATCACTACCACCCAGACAACCAATCACATCACTACCACCCGACAACCAATCACTTCACTACCACCCACACAACCAATCACATCACTACCACCCAGACAACCAATCACTCACTACCACCACACAACCAATCACTTCACTACCACCCACACAACCAATCACATCACTACCACCCAGACAACCAATCACGTCACTACCACCACACAACCAATCACTTCACTACCACCCAGACACCACACATCACTACCACCCAGACAACCAATCACATCACTACCACCCAGACAACCAATCACGTCACTACCACCACAACCAATCACTTCACTACCACCCAGACAACCAATCACATCACTACCACCCCAACCAATCACACACTACCACCCAGACAACCAATCACGTCACTACCACTCACAACCAATCACTTCACTACCACCCAGACAACCAATCACTTCACTACCACCCACACAACCAATCACATCACTACCACCCAGACAACCAATCACATCACTACCACCTAGACAACCAATCACTTCACTACCACCCCACAACCAATCACATCACTACCACCCAGACAACCAATTACGTCACTACCCACTCACACACCAATCACTTCACTACCACCCAGACAACCAATCACATCACTACCACCCAGACAACCAATCACATCACTACCAACCAGACAACCAATCACGTCACTACCACTCACACAACCAATCACTTCACTACCACCCAGACAACCAATCACATCACTACCACCCACACAACCAATCACATCACTACACCCAGACAACCAATCACGTCACTACCACTCACACAACCAATCACTTCACTACCACCCAGACAACCAATCACTTCACTACCACCCACACAACCAATCACATCACTACCACCAACAAACCAATCACATACACTACCCCCCAGACAACCAATCACATCACTACCACCCAGACAGCCAATCACTTCACTACCACCCAGACAACCAATCACAGCACTACCACCCAGACAGCCAATCAAATCAGTGAGTGGTGAGTGAGTGAGTGGTGAGTGGGTGAGTGAGTGGTGAGTGAGTGGTGAGTGAGTGATGAGTGGTGAGTCAGTGAGATAGTAAGTGAGTGGTGAGTGAGTGGTGAGTGAGTGGTGAGTGAGTGAGTGAGTTGGTGAGTGATTGAGTGGTGAGTGAGGTAGTGAGTGAGTGAGTGGTGAGTGAGTGAGTGGTGAGTGGGTGAGTGAGTGGTGAGCGAGTGGTGAGCGAGTGGTGAGTAAGTGGTGAGTGGTGAGTCGGTGAGATAGTGAGTGAGTGGTGAGTGAGTGGTGAGTGATGTGGTGAGTGAGTGAGTGGTGAGTGAGTGGTGAGTGAGTGAGTGAGTAGTGAGTGAGTGAGTGAGTGGTGAGTGAGTGGTGAGTGGTGAGCGAGTGGTGAGTGAGTGAGTGAGTGTTGAGTGAGTGGTGAGTGAGTGAGTGTTGAGTGAGTGGTGAGTGAGTGGTGAGTGAGGTAGTGAGGTAGTGAGTGGTGAGTGAGTGGTGAGTGAGGTAGTGAGTGAGGTAGTGAGTGGTGAGTGAGTGGTGAGTGAGGTAGTGAGTGAGTGGTGAGTGAGGTAGTGAGTGAGTGGTGAGTGAGGTAGTGAGTGAGTGGTGAGTGAGTGAGTGAGTGGTGAGTGAGTGGTGAGTGAGTGAGTGGCGAGTGAGTGAGTGGTGAGTGAGTGAGTGGTGAGTGGTGAGTTCTGCTCACACAGCGCAGGAGGCGGATCTCATCAAGCGCTGTCTCCGTGTAGTGCTGGGCGCTCTTCACAACCTTCATGGCCACCATCTCACTCGCCCTGCTCAACATCAACAACATCAACAACATCACCAACATCACCACCATCTCACTCGCCCTGCTCAACATCAACAACAACATCAACATCACCACCATCTCACTCGCCCTGCTCAACGCCATCAACATCAACAACATCACCACGATCTCACTCGCCCTGCTCAACATCACCAACATCAACAACATCACCACCATCTCACTCGCTCTGCTCAACACCATCATCATCACCAACATCCCCACCATCTCACGCGCCCTGCTCAACATCAACAACATCAACATCACCACCATCAACATCACCAACATCAACATCACACCATCTCACTCGCCCTGTACAATGTCACCAACATCAACAACATCAACTCAACACCATCTCACTCGCCCTGCTCAACATCACCAACATCAACATCACCACCATCAACACCATCTCACTCGCCCTGCTCAACGTCATCAACAACATAAACATCTCACTCGCCCTGCTCAACGTCACCAACATCAACATCATCACCACCATCAACATCATCAACATCACCACCATCAACATCACCACCATCTCACTCGCCCTGCTCAACGTCACCAACATCAACACCAACATCAACATCATCAGCATCAACATCACCAACATCAACATCACCACCATCTCACACGCCCTGCTCAACGTCACCAACATCAACATCATCACCACCATCAACATCATCACCACCATCAACATCACCAACACCATCAACATCACCACAATCTCACTCGCCCTGCTCATCATCAACATCACCAACATCATCACCACCATCAACATCACCACCATCAACATCACCACCATCAACAACATCACCAACATCATCAACATCATCAACATCAACACCATCAACACCATCAACATCACCATCATCATTAACATCAACAACATCAACAACATCAACATCATCACTATCACCAACATCATCACCATCATGACCATCATGACCATCAACATCACCAACCTGACCACCACCAAAATGGTGAGTCAGTGGGTAGTGAGTGTTGGGTGAGTGAGTGAGTATATGGTGAGTGGGGTGAGAGAGTGTGTGTGTTCTATGACATCTCCTGGCCAAACCCCATCTGGCAGAGCCAAGAGATTGAATCTTTACCCTTGGGGCTCCTCCAGAAACAACAAAAAGCCACTATGGATGGCCACGTGGAATGTTCGAATGCTGACTGCGGATGAGAGGCTGCCACTCCTCTGTCGGGAGCTGGACCGGTACCGCCTGGATCTCTGTGGCATTCAGGAGGTCCGGTGGACCAGTTCTGGATCCTGCCACCATGAGGGGTGGACAGTCCTCTACTCGGGGCAGGAGACTGCCAAACATCAGGGTGCGGCTCTTCTCTGAACAAAAGAATGAAGGGGTGTGAGAGCGTGGCGGTGAGGTGTGGGAAGCTGTAAGCCCCAGGCTACTTTGAGCTCGCCTTCCTATCAACCAGAGGCGAGGAGCGGTGGTCGTGGTTACTTATGCCCCCACCGAAGACGAACATCCGTGGAGGGATGCAGGCAAGGCCGATGAGTTAGATACCTTCTATGACCTCCTGTCACAGGTGCTGGCTAAAGTGGCCCCTCGGGATAGAGTCATCTTGTTGGGTGATTTCAATGCCCGAGTTGGTCATGATGCTGGCACCTGGTCTGCAGTGATTGGAAGGCATGGGCCAGATAAGCTCAATAATAACAGTAGGACGCTGCTAGATTTTTGTGCAGCCCACGGGCTTGTAATTACCAACACGCTGTTCTGGCATCGGTGCATCCACACAACATCATGGATGCATGCCAAGTCCCAAGCAAGAACATCTGCTGAACTACGTAGTGACAGACCAGCGGATGTGGGCCCATGTCCTTGACACCAGGACCTACCGTGGAGCTGATCTGCCCTCTGACCATCGACTTGTCATCTGTAATCATCACTTGCAGCTGGGGTTGGCATCGTCCCCCACTCCTCCTGATGTTGAGGGTAAATGGACGAGGTTTAGGACTGTGACTCATGCAGCTGCAATGGCTGCTTTGGGTACGCGGTCCAGACCTCCCCAGAGACCCTGGCTGACAGAGGTGTTCAGGATGGTTGAGAAAAAGCGACAGGCCCACTCTAATCGTCTCCAGCATCCCACGTCAGAAAATGAGGAGGCTTACTGCAGCCTTCGCTCGGAGGTTCAGAGAGCCGTGAGGCACTGCAAGGATGGGTGGTGGTCATTGGTTGCTGTGGAGATGGAGTCTGCCTCAGTGGCCCGCGATCACAAATCTTTTTTAACTCCATCAAAAAGTAACCTGCAGCAACACACCTATTACCATCATCAGGGGAAAAAACGGCGATCCAATCTCCGATCCCCAGGAACAGGTTTGCAGATTTGCTGAGCATTTCTATGAAGTCCTGGGGGAGGGGAAATCCCTCAACATGGGAAACATCATGGGACAAAGTGGGGATGACCCTGTGGAGGCTGCGGTGCCCCAAATATTGGAAGTCACCCCCTGTGAGTGGCTGGCTGAGGTGCCATCTGTTGAGGGAAGTACTGAAGGCGATCCAGAGTCTGAGACCAGAAAAGGCACCGGGCAGAGATGATCTCCCAAGTAAAATGCTGAGGGAGGGTGGCGTTTGTGCACAGACTGCCCTACATGACATCATAACAACAGTCTGAACCACTGGACGGGTTCCGCAGGACTGGAAGGGGCATCTCACTCCTCAATGTGCCAGGAAAGGTCCTGGCAAGGATCTTTCCTGGCACATTGTTAGGCACGCTGAGGAGAGGATTGCAGAGCCTCAATGTGGTTTCAGGAAAGGGCAGTCCTGCATGGATGCCATATTTTCTGTCCGTCTGCTACAGCAGAGGTGTAGGGATTCCAACAAGACCTGGTCAAGGCCTATGATACCATCAGTAGGCCTGGGCTCTGGGTTGTTCTTCGTGCTTTCGGAGTCCCTGACCCTCTGCTCACGATCATTAAGGACCTTCATGATGGTTAGCGGGCCCAGGTAAAACTACTGCGAGTCGGAGCCATTCGCTGTACACCTTGGGGTGCGACAGGGATGTCCTCTGGCTCCCACATTATTTAACATCTATTTTGACCACATAGTTTGTGAGGCCTTCAATAGCTGTACCGGAAGAATTTCCATCTGGTACAGATATAATGAGAGGCTGATCGATACCCGGGTGCGGTCAAGGGATGGCTCCCTATTGCTCAACCATGTTATGTATGCCGATGATCTGGTGATGGGGCAGTTGTGGAGAGAGTGGAGAGTTTCCCATATCTGGGTAGTGTGTTTATGACCGGCTCCGGTTTAACATCAGAGGTCTCACTCCGAATCAGCGAGCGGCATTATAATGCGAGCAGCATTATCTTTTCATCGGTTGCGTAACGCTGTGTGGAAGCTACCTTGTCTGTCGCTCCGCACGAAGCTTCAGGTCTTCTAGGCGACAGTCATTCCCTCCCTTCTCTACGCTTGCAAAACGTGGACCCCCCCTAATGTAACATCTTCGCCGGTTAGAAACATTTAGGCTGGCCTGCCTACGATCCATCCTGGGTTTAACCAGGTTGGATTGTGTGAGGAGCTCACAAATCCTTGAAAGATCTGGACAAAGTCCCATCGGTGAGCACCTCCGGCAGGCAAGGCTGCGTTGGCTGGGTCATGTAGCCCGCATGCCAAGTCACCGCATGCCTAAACAGCTTTTGTTCGGCTGGATCGAGGGGGCTTAACAGGTGCGGCACGGGCTAGAGAAGAGATGGAGTGATGTGGTACAGGAGGACGTGGAGCTGAGTGGACTTGCCGATGACTGGTACCAGCGGTGTCAAGATCGGCCTCTGTGGAGGAGGCTCGTGAAGGACGCTACTGGGCAGATGGAGGCAGTCGCCCTCCAGGAGCGACGCTCACAACAACGAGCGGAGCGCCGGGAGACTAAAGCACAGCAAAAGTTGGCACATTAGGGGGCACAGTTGGTGCATCAGCCAGTCATCTCGGTCATCTCGGTCAGTCGACCCGTGGCACCTGCTGGGTCTGCCCCGTGACCTCCTGCCAGCGGGCGTTCGACACTTCACGTGGCCTCAAGGTGCACATGGTCTGGCACAAGCGTCGTGGTGACGTCACCGCCACTTAGTGGCGAATGGCGGTTGTGTTGTTGTTGTAGTGCTCACGCGAGGTCCCAGCAGAGCCACACGGTAGAGAAGTGTCCCCAGCCCAGCTTGCGCACCACGCGGTAGCGCTCGCTGTACACCTCGCCCACACACACCGGGTGGTAGCCGCCTGGGGGGGGGCACGGGGGGGGGGCACGGGGGGGGGTACGGGGGGGGGTACGGGGGGGGGCACGCGGGGGTGGGGGGGGAGACACAGTGAATGACACTGTCGATGCTCCTGTTGATGATGCTGCTGCTGATGATGATACTGCTGCTGCTGCTGATACTGCTGCTGCTGATGCTCCTGCTGATGTTGCTGCTGATGATGATGCTACTGCTGATGACGCTGATGCTGCTAATGATGATAATGGTGGTGATGATTCTGCTGATGATGCTGCTGCAGCTAATGATGATACTGCTGCTGGTGATGATGATTCTGCTGATGATTATTCTGCTGATGATGATTCTGCTGCTGCTGATGATGATGCAGCTTCTGCTGCTTTTGCTAATGTCCCTGCTGTTTACGATGCTGCTACTGCTGCTGATGGTGATGATTCTGCTGCTACTGCTGATGATGATGATTCTGTTGCTGCTGATGATTCTGCTGCTGGTGATGATTCTGCTGCTACTGATGATGATTCTGCTGCTGCTGATGATGATTCTGCTGCTACTGCTGCTAATGATGATGATTCTGCTGCCACTGCTGCTGATGATGATTCTGTTGCTACTGCTGCTGATGATTATGATTCTGCTGCTACTGCTGATGATGATTTTGCTGCTACTGTTGCTGCTGATTCTGCTGCTGATGATGATGATTCTGCTGCTACTGCTGCTGATGGTCATTCTGCTGCTACTGCTGCTACTGCTGCTGATGGTGATGATTCTGCTGCTGCCGCTGACAATGATGCTGCTGATGATTCTGCTGCTACTGCTGATGTTGATTCTGCTGCCACTGCTGCTACTGCTACTGATGCTGCTGCTGATGACGGTGATGATGCTCGCACCCTTGCAGTAATCCGCTGGGTCCTCCTGATCCTCCTCGTCTGAGCAGATGACCTCGGGAGCCAGCGGGCACGGCTCACAGGGGTCAGGGCCCCCCACAGGTGGCGAGGCCACATGGCTCTCTGACCTGTGCACACACAGAGACACGCACAGAGACCACACAGAGACACACAGATACTCAGAGAGACACGCATAGAGACACGCACAGACTCATAGAGACACGCAGAGACACACACAGAGACACGCACAGAGACACGCACAGAGACACGCACAGAGACACACACAAAGACGCACAGAGACACACACAGAGACACGCACAGAGACACACACAGAGACACACAGAGACTCACAGAGACACACACAGAGACACACACAGACACACAGAGACACGCACAGAGACACAGAGAGACTCAGAGAGACACTCACAGAGACACACAGAGACTCAGAGACACATGCAGAGACACGCACAGAGACACACACAGAGACACGCAGAGATACGCACAGAGACACGCACAGAGACACACAGAGACTCATAGAGACACACAGAGATACGCATGGCACCACCGCGGTCCATCCACTGCTGGACGGAGACCCACGTGACGTCCCTACCCTGTGGGGTGCTCTCTGACCCACGTGGACGTCCTACCCTGTGGGGTGCTCTCTGACCCTCGTGCTCCACTCTCTGCCGCTCAGTGTAATCACCACCATGGACCCTATAGTAAACCCATAGAGACTGATCCACAGAGACCCGCAGAGACGCACACAGACACACACAGACTCATAGAGACACATGAGAGACACACAGAGACTCGTAGATAAACACAGACCCATAGAGACACATAGACCACGCAAAGAAACACCCAGAGACACACAGAAACTCATAGAGACACACAGAGACACACAGAGACGCACAGAGACACATGAGAGAAGCAACAGAGATACACAGACACACAGAGACTCACAGAGACACACAGACCCACAGAGACTCAGAGACACATGAGAGACACACAGAGACGCACAGAGACTCACAGAGACACACAGAGACACGGAGACTCACAGAGACTCACAGAGACACATGAGAGACAAGCCACAGCCGTGCGACTGGCCATGCCGGTCACACCGTGAGCCCCCTGGGGTCGTGTGCGCTGCTTCAACGGAGGAGGAGGAGAACAGCGACACGAACTCTCTCGCTCTCGTCGTATGCTGAGCAGCAGCAGCAGCAGACTGTGCCATCCAGCTCATGATCATCTTGCCGTACGCAAGAATAGAATAGACTATGGGCAGTGTTAGTCTATGGGCAGTGTTAGTCTATGGGCAGTGTTAGTCTATGGGCAGTGTTAGTCTATGGGCAGTGTTAGTCTATGGCAGTGTTAGTCTATGGGCAGTGTTAGTCTATGGGCAGTGTTAGTCTATGGGCCGTGTTAGTCTATGGGCAGTGTTAGTCTATGGGCAGTGTTAGTCTATGGGCAGTGTTAGTCTATGGGCAGTGTTGTCTATGGGCAGTGTTAGTCTATGGGCAGTGTTGTGGCTTGGCTCTCCACACACCGGTTAGTGCTGTCCGAGTGAGGAATTGGCCACGGTCTGTTCACGTGACAACCTCACTAGTGGGCTGTGTCGGGTGGTGGCGGGTTTATCGACACATTTATATATTTACGCGCTCTAACCCAACAAACCTCTATATGGATGATACAATACATGTACTAATAAACGGCAGGTAGGATGGAAACAACCACAAACCAGTTAAGGTATTACCTGGTTAATAACATCCTTCAATGATTGTTCGAATTTGTATCCATCTTCTCGGCTGAAGTTATGTCTGTTTATAGATCTTGATGGCTTCATGAACAAACTTTGATAGTAGCCCAAAGGTTTGCAGAGTATCTTGGTCTCGGATAAAACAATATCACGCGAGCCCACAGCGTTATAGCAATGGCCAGCTACTACGACTACGGTGTTAAACTGGACGACAACAACAACAAACTTGATGCTGCAGCTGCTACTGCCATCATCACAACCCCCGGGCCGACGGACGGCTGAGGCATCCGGCTGGATAAAATAGATACCTGCCAAACGATATTCGTTTCAGAGAGACACTCACGCATATATGTGGATGTGTTGTGTGTGAAAGAATGGAGTGCTGTGGTACAGGAGGACCGTGGAGCTGAGTGGACTTGCTGATGACTGGTACCAGCTGTGTCAAGATCGGCCTCAGTGGAGGAGGCTCGTGAAGGACGCTACTGGGCAGTTGGAAGCAGTCGCCCTCCAACAACAACGGAGGGCGGAGGAGCGACGCTCACAACAACGAGCGGAGCGCCGGGTGGCTAAAGCACAGCTAGTTGGTACAGTAGGGGGCACAGGTGGTGCATCAGCCAGTCATCTCGGTCATCTCATTCAGTCGACCTGTGGAACCTGCTGGGTCTGCCACGTGACCTCCTGCCAGCGGGAGTTCGACACTTCACGTGGCCTCAAGGTGCACATAGCCTGGCACAAGCGCCGTGTTGACGTCACCGCCACTTAGTGGCGAAAGGCGGTTGTTTTTGTGAAGCAGACGAAACAGAAAAAAAGACTCGCAATGACCCAAGTGGTGAAGTATGGTCAAATACCCCCCCCTCCTCCCCTTAAGGGCCTCATCCAGCAGTGGATTGACGTGTTTACGAGACGCAGGGAGATTGCTTACCACCGAAGACCCCCCCCCCCAACCTGTCCCTCCCCACCGTTGCTAGGCACTCCGGTCGCCATGACGACAGCATCCTCGGATACCCCCCCACTCGCCGCCCCCGCGGGGGTTGCCAGGTCACGTCGCCATGGCAACCAGCCGCCCACGTGCCTCTCTCTCCCATCCTTTCGGGTTCGCCCCCGCCCCCATCCACCACCTCACCCACCCCCCAGGACACAAACACACAACACACACATACAGACACGAACACAGACACACACACAACACGCACACAGACACACCAACACGCACAGACACACACAAACACACACAACACGCACACAGACACATACACAGACACACAGACACACACATACACACAGACACACAGACACACACAGACACACAAAGATCCCCCATGTAGCCTTAACAGACTGTAGGGGCAAGTGCTGTAAGCGAGCACCTCTGAAGGCCGGAACGGCACACGAGGGGGTGGGTGGCCAGCACCACGCCCGACCGCCTTTGTCCTCCCTAGTAGCAATGTTTACACACCGTACCAGGTACTCATTTGAGGCTGAGTCGACCTACACACACACAGACAGACACAGACACGCACACACAGACACGCACAAACAGACGCACACCACACAACGACACACAAAGACACACCACACACAGACACACACTACATACACAGACACACACTACATACACAGACACACACTACACACACAGACACACACTACATACACAGACACACACAGACACACAGACACACACAGACACACAAAAAGACAAAGATCCCCGTGTAGCCTAAACAGACTGTAGGGGCAAGTGCTGTTAGCGAGCACCTATAAAGGCCAGCACGGCACACGAGGGGTGGGTGGCCAGCACCACGCCCGACCGCCTTTGTCTCCCTAGCGGCGATGTTTACACATCGCACCAGGTACTCATTTGAGGCTGAGTCGACCTAGGGGAGGCCCGGGACCGGTTCAGATAATCGTCACTGGTGTTTGCCGTGAACAGGAATCGAACCCGGGTCGCCAGGTTCATAGCGCAGCGCGCTAACCGCTACACCACCGCTCCCCACAGACACACACACATATAGACACACACAGACACACACAAGCACACACACACACATCCACATTGGGTGTAATTACTGTCATACAATCCTAAAATAGACACCGCAAGAGTGTGTACAACATCGTCGTCAGCAACATCAGCAGCAGCATCATCAACATCATCATCATCAACATCATCATCAGCGGCATCATCAGCTGCGGCATCAGCAGCAACAGCAGCAGTATCAGCAGCAACATCATCAGCAGCAGCAGCAACATCATCAGCAGCAATATCAGCAGCAGCAGCATCAACAACAGCATCATCATCATCAGCGTCATCAGCATCTTGACCATCGGCAGCAGTAATCACTATTAATAGAAAATCAGTATCAGCAGCAGGAGCAGCAACGTCATCAGCATTATCATCATCAGCAGTAGCAGCAGCATTGTCATCAACATCAAAACAACAGCATCGCCATCGTTATTATAAATAACAGCAGTATGATTACCAACATCATCAGCAGTAGCCGTGACATCATTTTCACCATCGCCACCACCACCATTAATCAAACAATGTAGAATCCATTGTTGTTAACCTGACAATAACGCACATTAATTCCCCAGAGAATCCTAACCGAGTCTCAAGACTCGCTCTCAAGAGGGTGCTGCCACGTTGAGATGGTTGGCCGTGAATTCCATTCGTGAGAGTTTGGCTTCGTGTGAGTCTATGGGTCTCTGTGTGAGTCTATGGGTCACTGTGTGAGTCTATGGGTCTCTGTGTGAGTCTATGGGTCACTGTGTGAGTCTATGGGTCTCTGTGTGGGTCTATGGGTCTCTGTGTGAGTCAATGGGTCTCTGTGTGAGTCTGTGGGTCTCTGTGTGAGTCTATGGGTCACTGCGTGAGTCTATGGGTCTCTGTGCGAGTCGATGGGTCTCTGTGTGAGTCAATGGGTCTCTGTGTGAGTCTGTGGGTCTCTGTGTGAGTCTGTGGGTCTCTGCGTGAGTCTATGGGTCTCTGTGTGAGTCAATGGGTCTCTGTGTGAGTCTGTGGGTCTCTGTGTGAGTCTGTGGGTCACTGCGTGAGTCTAGGGTCTCTGTGTGAGTCGATGGGTCTCTGTGTGAGTCGATGGGTTCTCTGTGTGAGTCGATGGGTCTCTGTGTGAGGTCAATGGGTCTCTGTGTGAGTCTATGGGTCTCTGTGTGAGTCTATGGGTCACTGTGTGAGTCTATGGGTCTCTGCGTGAGTCGATGGGTCTCTGCGTGAGTCGATGGGTCTCTGCGCGAGTCTATGGGTCTCTGTGTATATGGGTCTCTACGTGAGTATATGGCTCTCTGTGTGAGTCTATGGGTCTCTGCACGGGTCTACGGGTCTCTGTGTGAGTCTACGGGTCTCTCTGTGTGAGTCTATGGGTCTCTGTGTGAGTCTATGG